AGAGAAACTCAAAGCATTTCTACTCAAATCTGGAATAAGACAAGGATTACTACTCTCTCCATAGCTCTTCAATATAGTACTTAAGGTCTTAGCTAGAACAACAACACAACTGAAGGCCATCAAATGAACACAACTGAGAAAGAAGTCAAAGTACCTTTATTTACACATGATATGATTTTATACAAAAGAGACCCTAAAGACTCAACCAGAAACTTTTATCCAAGTAGCAAGATACAAAAGTAATAGACAAATATCAATAGCTTTCCTATATACAAATGACAGAGAAAGAAATCAATAATAGTAACTTTAAGAATACACGTCAAAGATATGCTTTAATCAAGCAAGTGAAAGACTGAATAAACAAATTAAAAAATAAAAACTTTAAGGTATTGAAGAAAAAATTCAGAAGATATCAAGATGGAAAGATCATCTGTGTTCAAGAATCGGTAGGAAAATGGCTATTCTACCAAAAGCAATCTACAGATTTAATGCAGTTCCCATCAAAACTCCAACAGATTTTCACATAAATTTCAATGCCCAACTTCATATGGAAACACACAAGCACACACACACACACACAGAGAGAGAGAGAGAGAGAGAGAGAGAGAGAGAGAGAGAGAGAGAGAGAGAGAGAGGAGAATGGAGGAGAGAGACAGGGACCTAAGACAGAGACAGGGACAGGGAGAAAGAAAACGACTTGAAAAGAACTGCTGAAAGTGTCACCAGCCCAGATTTCAAGTGTTATTACGGAACTATAAATGAATATAGCATGATATCAGCATAAAAGCAGTTGGTTAATGGAATAAATTGAAGTATGCACCAGAGTTTTGATAAGACTGCATCTTCAATAATAGTGCAACTGAAATTGTAGGGCTATTTATAGAATGAAAATAGAGTCGTATCTATCATGCTGCATAAAAATCACCTCCAAGTGGATCAAGGACCTGAACATAACACCAGATACCCTGAATCTGATAGAAAAAGCATGGAATAGGCTTGAAATAATTGGTATAGGAAAGGACTTTCTGAACAGGTATGGGCATTAAGATCAACAATTAATAAATGGAATCCCTTGGAAAAGCTTTTCTATGGCAAAGAACACCGTCATTAGAGTAAAGCATGAGCCTACAGAATGGGAAAATCATTTACCAATTATACATCTAATGGTGGGTTAGTACCTAGAACATATGAAGCACTAAAAAGAAACTTAACACTGAGGAAACAAATAACCCAATTTAAAATGGGGTATAGAACTAAATAGAGAATTCTCAAAAGGTTAAACACAAACAACTGAGAAACACTTAAAAGAAATGTCCAACATCCTTAGCCACCAGGGAAATGGAAATTAAAATACTTACCCTAGCCAGTATGGTTGAGATCAATAAAACAAATGACAGCACATGCTATCGAGGATGCAGGGAGAGCAGTACACTTACTCATTGTTGATACAAGTGCAAACCAGTATAGCCACTATGGAAATCAGTGTGGACTTCCTCAGAAAACTGGACAGTACTTTACTTCAATATCCAGCTACACCACTCTTGGCTGTATACACAGTGGATTCATCCATGTTTGTTGCTGCTTTATTCATAACAGTCAGAAATCTGCAACAGCCTAGAAGTCCATCGCCAGATGAATGGGTGGATGGATGGATGGATGGATGAATGGATGGATGGATGATGAAAATGTGGCACATTTACACAATGGAATACAATTCACAATTCATGTAAAGAAAACTGAAATTCACAGATAAATGGATGGAGCTACAAACAGTCATTCTGAGTGAGGTAATCTAGACCCCATAAGAAAAATGTGCAATGTGTTCTCTTATACGTGGATGCTAACTTTTAGCTTTTGATATGTGTGCTACCATCAAAGTGATCACGGGTTGGGCAAATGGTAAAGGACCAGTAGGAAGAAAGGTATCTACCAACAGAAAGAGAATATAGTGTTATGAAAAGATAAAGGGAAACAGGAATCAGAAGATTAAATCAGAGAGGGAGATTAGGGTAAAGTAGGGTAGGGGGATCAAACACTTAAGGCCTCTAGAAAAACTATATGGAAACCTACTATTGTAGAACCTTTTTAAATTATATACATATATGGAAGCAATTTAAATGAAGCTACCATATTATAGAAAAGACAATGCCCCCAAATAGACATCTTATACTATCAAGTAAAACCTCCAGCACCAGGAATGTTTTATATATTGTTGAGTTCTTAGACAAAGGGGTCCTGTGGAACTACCCAAACATCACAGGCTACTGCCAAGGCTATTGTTGCTCTTCATATCCTAATGATAAGGCCCTAAGTGCTGTGTACAACACTTACTCATGCCACTGCACATGGATAAGTCCAGCTAGTGTCCAACTAGTAGCTTCATCCAGCTAACTAGCACACATGGGGCTGGAAGAGATTCTGTACACTACTGGAAGGGAAAAGTAATCATCAAAATTACCCAGCTACAATCCACAAAACCTACAACACCAACCTGACTACAAAATGTCCTGGTCCAATAGTGGCACAGATGTTATGGGAATAACAGACTTTTTAAAAAATTGGACTTAGGGCCCACTCCATGAGATGGAACACATGCCTGACACTGATGAAGTGCCAAAGAACCTGAGACTAAAAAGATATTGGCCTACTTTTCTTCTGCTAAAAAGAACATGACAACAAAATGACTCCTAATGTCATACTGCTATGTGGTAGTTTGAATGAGAGTGGCCCCCATAAGGCTCATATATTTGCAAGTTTAGTCCCAAGTTAGTGAACTGTTTTGAGAAGTAGCAGAAGAATTAACATGGAAGAAGTATGTCACTGGGGGTGGACTTTGAAATTTAAAGAGCCCATTGCAAGATTCAGTGTCACTTTCTGCCTGCCCTCAGTTATGGCTCCAGCATCATGCCTATTTTCATGTCATCATGGTCTCCACCATGATGATAATGGATTAACCCTCTAAAACTGTAAGCAAGCTACAAATTAAATGCTTTATTTTATGAGTTGACTTGGTCATGATGTCTCTTCACAGCAATAGAAGAGTGACTAAGACATTCTGTGCCCATGATCAGAGCCTCACTCAGCTCTTATCAGAGAAATGTCTTCTTGTAGTAGTTGGAAATTAACACAGAGACCCACAACAGGTCACAAAGAGTCAGAAGCTTTGAAAATTCAGCACCAAATGGGATGCCTTCATCAAACCCACCCTGCCTCAAGACTCAGGGATCTGTGCAGAAGAGGAGGTAAAAAGGTTGTAAAAGCCAGAGGTGGTTAATGACTGACTCTAGGAGGCAGTGTCTTCCAGACACAATAGGAATGATGCACACATGAATGCAGAGATGATGGTAGCATGCACAAAAACTCCTGGATAAGTTCAAGCCAGATAAAATCCTAGCACTGAAAAGGGGAAGTAAATACAGATTCCCACCCATAACCAGGAAGCTGTTTGCAAGTGATGCCTGCTGGGAAAGAAATAATCTGTTTTCCCCAGTGCACTGTCATTAGGTTTACCAACCACAATCAAGGGAGGACCCTATGCCCAGGAGTCATTGGCCAACACAGAAAGCACCATTGTTTTAGTTGGGTTCTTTTAGCATTTAAAAAATTTATTGTTTGTTTTGATTTTTTTTTGAGAAATAAGCATGAAGTTGGATGGTAGGGAAGTGAGAATGATCTGGGAAGAGTGTGGGGAGAGAAACATGATTAAATATATTCTAAATAATTGTTTTAACGCTTGCGCCCTGGGAACCATGCCCCATTAAGAACCATGCAGGCATGCGGTGGCCTCTAAATGTGTGGGTTCCACTGTACTTCATGACCACATCTTGAAATTTCTGTACTGGAATGTGATCCTGCCCTGACTTCAGAATCCTGTACGCAACACTATGGGGCGTTGACTTTCCTCAGATTTGCCCATACTGTGTCCTGACCTCTGCCCCAAGGCTGCTCGGCTGGGTGTCTCTAGGAAACTCAGTTGTGGTGGGGAGAGGAGCTGACACAGGCTGCTAAACATCATGAGGGCAGCTGTGAGAGGCAGAGGTGCCGTGCCTCTTGGGCTTCTCAGTTGGCAACTGGGGCCCCAACAGAAGCAGCATGAGGCTGAGGGAGATGTGAAGGGACAAGACATGAGCTAGCTGCCTCACCGCTTTCCACAGACAGGCCTATGTGTGAATCCAAATACAATCCACAACAGTTGTCACCTCACTGAACGCTACAAGCCCTCAAACTGCAAGAATGGTTCAGATCACCCTAGTAAAGAATAATGCAAAACATTATTACATGTGCCTATTATTTAAGGAAAGCGCAAGTAGGAAAATGAAGACTCAAGACACATGTCAACACTCTCAACATTTTTACATAATTTGATACTAATCATTTCATCATTTCATGCCCAAACATATTCTACTGGCTATTTAAAGAAAATTTTTGTGATCACAAGGGATTTGATCATATCTCAAAAATTCTACATCAAGTTATCCCACTCAAACTGATGTATAAATAAAAACAAAAATTGGCAAAATCTTAAGTTTCCTAAAGGATAAAAAAGTAAGCATTGACGTTATGCAGTTTTCTTTTATTCTTCTATAAATTTTTAAATGTTTGGACAAAGATACTGAATTAGGTAAAGGACGAGAATGAAATAGAGTACAAATTCTATTTTCAAAAGTAAATAATTCAAAAGTCAAATTTATTTTGACTTTATAGAAAAAATTACCATATATAGAATAGCCTTTGTGGAAAGTGTCATGAACTTAGGGACACTCAGAAGAGGAAACACTGTGAGAAATACACTTCACCCTGTCACAAATACATAGACGTGTGTGTGTGTGTGTGTGTGTGTGTGTGTGTGTGTGTGTGTGTGTAAGAAAAAGAGAAACAAAACTTGCTTCTTCATCAGTAAAGGACAGATACTTCTTTGGAGGATAAGAAAAAATAAAACTACAGCGTAATTTATGCTAGTGGTATCTCTGAAATCAAGGCAACAGGTCCTTGTCCTATAAGAAATCAATTAATATATCACAGTCACGATACTGAGCACCTAGTCAGGATGATTTCAGAAACTCTACCTGTGCTTTCAAGCACACTAGGCAAACTTGGAAGCTGTGGGATGGCAAGTGATTGCTGCTTTTATGATCCCTTCTAGAACAGAAGTCATCACACAACAATGGGTCACTGCGGCCTTGACTAGCACTTCTTCAATGTCACGAGAGACAAACGGTTTCTTTTTCAAATGGTTTATTTTCAAATTGTTCAAGATTTTGTCAGCAAGAACCTAAAAATCTCTGTGTCTCTGTGATGAGATCAGGGATTGCCAGCGATTAGAGAGCTGAAGAACTGAGCGGGGCTCAAGAGGGTCCCCAAAGAAAATCAGGGGACACGTGTCTGCCGCCTGCAACACCAAACCGCCATGTGCCTTCACTCCTCTGAACAATGGTCTTGCCAGTGTCAGATGAGGTATGCGGAGCTCTGTTGGCTTCGCAGTGGTTACAGCTGGAAAGTGACAGGCTTCTGACTGGCTCCAGATTGTTGTCAACATGTGAAGAGCTAATCCTCAGTCCCCTGCTTCAGAAAGTCTACCACCAAACCCTGCAATTGGGCACCTGTAGAGCACTACATATTACCAGTCTTCACCTCTGTTCTTTTCAAAGAGAGGAGGAAAACTCAGGACCTCCCCAATACCATCCCTCCCTCTTCAGGGTGAGGGAGGACACATCCTCCTGCTGTGGAGTCAGAGTGGTGATAGGGTATGTGGCTGGAGGATTGTCTAGATTTCTCCCCCAAAGTGTTCCTGTCATTTCCAGAAAAGAGAAGAAGACCCGAGACCACTCTACACCATGCCATGCCATTGACAGGCAGAGCACAAGCCAATTCCCCACAACATCCCACCTTATTCTGCATGTTCAAAGGACTCAAGAGCATGCCCGACTTTGCCCTGGCTCACCACATCAAGCCTGATATAAACACTATGCACCATGCTGCTACAGCTGCTGCAGACCTTTTAAAGGGCAGAAGCAGGCAACCACCTGACCACTGAAAGATTCAACTCCTTCTGGTTTTGTGCATTGAATTGGCTCTTGGGACATGTGCCAAAGACAAGTTATTCTCCTAACTAACTCAAAGGAGTTAGCAATAATTAAATCCCCAGAGACAAAAGACATGGCAATTTGAGGGAAAAAAATTTCTATATCCCTGCTCTCTGATTTTCAGTGAAATCCTTTGAAGAGATAAGCAGATGAGGCCAAAGAATGGTACAGTCACTCCATCCTATTTTCAGCAAAGAGTCCAATATACGGCTTCAGCTAGAGTGGGAGTGCTTCCAAAGGAGGCCTTTTCATGTTTGTCTTCGAATTGATAGTAGAGGAAATGGTGGCGGCCAACAATTCCAGAACCTCCAGCTCTTTGGTTCAAAACCTCAATAAGTATGGATAGCAGTTCTTATTGTCCCAACTCCACAGACAGATGAAGCAAGGCTTGTAGAGTAAGGCTGGACAGCCTGGAGGTCCTGAAAGCTGGGAGTTCACAATAAAGACCCTCTTAATTATTATGTTCTCCCAAGTCCCACCAGACAGCAAGATTCGAAATAATTCTGGGTCATCCAGGTGGTGAACTCATCCACAATCCCCAATTAGGACTCGGTAGGAAAGAGGCGGAGCCAATCTCAGGGGCAGAACGGGGAAACATAAAGGAACTCAAAGGATTCAAACTATAACAGGAAAATGGCTGAAAGAGCCGAATGACTAAAGCCAAATGGTTTGGCAGACACAGCCATGCCTGGGGATCTGTGATGACAGGGACAGTCTTTTTCCATCACATTCTGAGCTGTCTTTACAGAACTTTATCTTTTATGTCCAGAGATCAAATTAAAATAAAACGATCACATTTAATGAGAGCTAAGGGAAATAAAGTGGTGGCAATTAAAGAGTAAAAATAACCCGGCTGTGGTTGCAGACCACAGGAGTTCGCTCGTTTTAAGAGCCACAGGCAAATCACTTAAACAAGGCCTTTTGGGCTGCGTTCCTCTCATGTTTCCTCCCACACCCACGGTGGTTAAAGTTATAGGCAGCCTTGGCTCTTGAACTCCTGGAATTGTGTACTCACCAGAAGTGCAACAGGCCAAACTCATCAACTTACAAACGCAACATTGTTACAAGGAAGTCAAAGACAAGACCCTCTGCAGCGTATCTCTGGGTGTGACCCCGAGTTAACAGGGTAGAAAGGACAGAATCCCTAACCTTAATGAGATCCTTTCCTTTCTCCCACCTCAAACCTGTTTTCTACTGTCCTTTGACTGAGGACATGCAGTGTCATAGTTCCAGGGAATTTTCACCCAGCTCCTTAGTTTTCCATGTGCAGATTGTATCTGTACTAGATCACGAAGCCCTTGTGAATTGTTCCTCAGACCTAGGATGATAATCCAGGTCTCTCAAACATAAAACAAAAGCCAGACTGATCCGAGATTCCATTCCAGTCAGTGCCTGTCCCCAACAGGCTTGCTCTCAGACAGTCTTCAATCTTCAGATGAGGCTAACTACAGAAAAACATCTGTAGCTCAGAGACAGCTTCCCAAAACACCTGAAGACATACAAAATTGCCCAGAGAAGACAAGCCTGGAAGACTTCATAAAAATGACCAATTCTGGACAAGATGAGTTACTGAGCAGAAAGAAGAAGACGAGGGAGCTGGAGAGATGGCTCAGAGGTTTAGAGCACTGGCTGCTCTTCCAGAGGGCCTGAGTTCAATTTCCAGCAACCACATGGTGGCTCACAACCATCTGTAATAAGATTTGGTACCCTCTTCTGGCCTGCAGGCATACATGCAGGCAGAACACCATATACACAATAAATCTTTAAAAAAAAAAAGAAGTAGGGGTGATTACACTACAATTTAAAGCCTTACCCCACATCCAATAGAGGCCTACTATCCAAACTACATATAGAAATAAAGAAACCAAATATCAGCAAATCAAACAATCTAACTAAAAAATGGAGTGTGGACCTAAACAGAGAATTCTTAAAAGAAGAATCTCAAATGGTTGAGAAACACTTAAATGTTCAACATCCTTAATCATCAGGGAAATGCAAATCAAAATCACTTTGAGATTTGTCAGAATGGCTACAATCAGGAACACAAGTGACAGCTCATGCTGGCCAGGATTTGGAGCAAGGGGAACATCCTGCACTGCTGGTAGGAGTGGAAACTTGTACAGCCACTGTGGAAATCAATAGGGCAGTCCCTCAGAAAACAGGGATTCCATCTACCTCAAGACCCAGCTGCACCAGCTTGGGACTCCTAACAGTATGAATGGGGTGTCTCTGACTTTTTTTTGCCTGTTCTTGGGACCCCTTTCTTCCTGTTGGGTTCCCTCATCTAGCCTTGATATGAGGGCTAGATATCCCAAAGACACTCCATCCGACCACAAGGACACTTGCTCGACTATGTTCATAGTGGCTTTATTTATAATAGCCAGAAACTGGAAACAACCTAGATGTTCCTCCACTGAAGAAATGTAAAAAGGAAATGTGGTACATTTACACGATGGAATATTACTCAACTGTTTAAAACTAAATGACATCATGAAACTTGCAGGTAACTGGATGGAACTAGAAAAAAATCATCCTGAGTGAGGCAGCCTAGCCCCCAAAAGACAAACATGATACGTATGCACTTTTAAGTGGATATTAACTGTTAAGTAAAGGGGATAATCATGCTACAACCCACAGACTCAGAGAGGCTAAGCAACAAGGAGGGTTCTGGGGGGACACATGGATCTTTGTGGGAAGGAGACTGGAGGCAGCAGGGATGGGAACTTGAGGAATCAGGTGCAGGAGGGAGTGATGGAGGGGGAGAGTGGGGAGAGACAACTGGGATGGGGGATGTGGGAACCTAATGCAGTGGATACTTCCAGGAATCTACTGGGGTGGCCCTAGCAAGGACTCCTAGCAATGGAGGACCTGGAGCCTGAACTGGTCATCTCCTATAAACAGGCAAGACTTCCAGGGGTGGGACAGGGACACCAACCCAGTCACAACACCTTAGACCTACAACCTGTCTTGTCTGCATGACGTGCAGGGGCAATGATGGCCCAGAGATTGTGGCCAACCAATGACTGATCTAACTTGAGACCCATGCCACAAGAGAGACCCCATACCCAACACTGCCTAGATGACCAGGAACAGTAAGTTGGATAGCCCAGAGACTCGAGTAGAACCAAACAGGACTCTTCCCTCCCCACCCCTGCAAAAATACGATTAAATGATTTCTAATTATACTCTGCTATACTCATAGATCAGTGCCAGCCCAATTGTTATCAGAGAGGCTTCCTCCATCAGTTGATAGGAGCATATGCAGAGAAACTAAACATTTACCCACAGCTAAACACTAGGCAGAGCACCAGGATCCCTGCAGAAGAGGGGGAAGAGGGATTATAGGAGCCAAATGGATAGAGGACACTACAAAAACAGCCCACAGAATCAACTGAGCAGGGCTCATGGGGGCTCACAGAGACTGAAGCGGCAATCATGGAGCCCACATGGATCTGCAGTAGGTCCTCTGCAAATATGCTGTGGTTGTTAGCTTGGGAATCCTAACAGTATGAATGGGGTGTCTCTGTCTTTTTTTTTTTTTTGCCTGTTCTTGGGACCCCTTTCTTCCTGTTGGGTTCCCTCATCTAGCCTTGATATGAGGGTTTTTTTTTACCTAGTCTTAATGCATTTTGTTCTGACATGTATGATTGATAACCCTGGGAAGCCTGCTCTTTTCTGAAAGGAAACGGGGAGAGGAGAGGTGGAGGTACTGGGAGGAATGGAAGGAGGGAAAACTTCAGTCAGGAAGTATTGCATGAGAGAAGAATAAAAAGAAAAACAAAAAGGCATGATACACTTGGCTCCAAGGTCAAGCATACTCTTCATCTATGATCCAAAACTGTGCATCAGCACATTGAACTTACCTGTAGAAAGTGGTATAGTCCACTGTTGAGTGGCAGATCTGGAACTCCCAGGACTTGAGTTTCTGGCATTCTCGATGGGCTCGGAGCTTCACCTTCACTGTGCCTTGACATAGCTCAGGCACTGGTTTTCTCTGTGGTCTGTTGCAGAATTCATTGGACTCCACCCTCCATGACTCAGCAAAGTCATCCACATCAAACTTGAAGTTTCCATCTCCACCAATCAAGTCATCACGTTTATGTCCATTGTAGTTGCCACAAAGACCACAGAGCTTGCCCTTGAGATGAGGGGCAGCCATGACCTCCACAAAACTGTCTCCATCCCAGGATATCTCCAGACCTAGAGGACAAGAAGACAGGAGGATCATCCCAACAATTCCCACATTTGTGCATCTTTACCCAGTTCATACGTCATCTGCTCTCAGGGAACAACCCTAGCTACTGTTCAGACTCAACTGCCTTTTAATCTCCACATTCAATCTTACATAAATGAAAGACCCTATTTCATTTAGACAGCTTAGGATTTATCGATGGTATAAGGTTTCCCTTTGTAATATCTTCTGTGCTTGGAGTCTGACATCCATAGAAAATTACTGTCACTACAGTACTCTAGAGTATGGTATTTTTAATTTTTCCTAAAATAGTTGTGTTTGGCAAATTGTATCTTTGCCCAATGTCTTTTTCATCTCTTTGTCCAAATATTCTATGTAATTATTCCCTCAAATATCAAGGGAGATTTTTCTGAACTGCCTGCTATAATGAAAATATTAAATACACACACTCATACATACATACATCCATGTTCTTCAGAAGACAACACTGGGATCCATGGAATCACCCAATCTTTGCCATGTGTAGTGACTCCCCAGACACAGACCACCGACAGACATTTCCCAGAGGGATGCTTAAGAGCCCATTTACTTTAGTGCCTCCATCCTTGGGATGCACACAAGCTTCAATAGCATAGAAGGTACTGCAGACTGCTAGGATGTGGGCAAAATTCCCTCTTGTGTATCTACCATCAAACCCCTGCTTCCTTCCTTGCTCTCTCTCTCTCTCTCTCTCTCTCTCTCTCTCTCTCTCACACACACACACACACACACACACACACACACACAAAACAGGACCAAACAAAAAGAAAATCTACAGTCTTTGCTCCAGAGCAGAGAACACTTCTTCTTGTTTTGTCGAACTGCGAATGTGTTCGAAGATTCATATGAAAATATGGAACTTTTACCAAAAATGCTAGGCTAGGTTTTGAGGAACATCTCTAGGCAATGATACCTCTGAGTGACGGACTTTGACACACGCAGGAGAGTCAGGCTCCATTATATTGGCACAGTACAGATAAGTCTGACTTGACAGTGAAGAAGAAACCACCTCAAACCCATCTGATGTTGTAGGTGAAGCTACTGCCCCCAAGAGAAAGGAGAAGCCCATGCGGAGAGCCATTGAAGGTGTGGCAGAAAGAAATGACGTTTTCTGCTTTGCCCTTTTACGTGCACATTGCCACCTCTTCACCTCACTAACCTCTAGCAGGGCCTGAGCGCCGGGGTGACTGTTGAAGAACCACCATAGTGTGGACCCCAGAGCCTTGACAGCACGTTTATGTAAACGTCTGTCCTGGACGTCTTCATTACTGTCACTGTCTGCTATGAGCAGCAATCTGAGAGCAAGCCTTCTAAACAGGAGAGTCCCTGTCCCCTCCTAATTCTCTTCTGCATAGGCTGTTGGGCTCCTAATAAAAGCAAATTTCATTGTTCTGAGCCTCTGGAAAGAGGGAAAGTGACTGTCCTCCAAAATCCATCATCTTTGTTCCTGAATTACCTACCAATCGAGTTTGGAGATGAGATGAGGATGGCAGGGAGGGGGGCAGAGAGGGGGCAGGGAGGGAGGAAGGGAGGGAGGGAAAAAAGGAAGCGTGTTAGCTAGGTAGCTAGTATGAAAGAGAATCGGTCTTGTTGGCATAAGAAATTCCCACAAGGCAATGTCTTCAGGGTAACAATGATACATGAGAAAGACAGACAGAGGACAGATTCTAAACCAGAAGTCCCTAGGGCTGAACACGTCCGCAGGGGAAGAAGACTAGTCAAATGGCTTTCCCATGAGAAAGCCACACAGATGCCACAAGGTAGAGTCACTTTATGGAGAGCTATGGTAAAATAAATCAGCAGCCCAAAACTGAGACTCTTAAGGAAAAAAAGCAAAAACAAAGAAGCAAACAAAAACTCCCAAGGAAACCACTCTGCACTAAGTTGAAGTAATAGAACATTCTCAATCTAAGGCAAATGGTTGGAGAGCTTCTTGGTTATGGGGAAAGGGCCGAGCTCAGAGAGGCAATTTAATATATAGATCTGGAAAAGGAAGAATAAAGGGCAGCCACAGGAAAAGTGTCTCGGGAGAAATTTGGTGACGAGGGGACAGTGATAGCACCGAGTAGGAGAGAAGAGAGAACTGGGACACGGACACCGCACCTTGCATGTGGTGCCGTGTGAGACGTGGTGCCAACCGTGACAGCCATAGATTTTACACCATACCATGTCTATCTCTGTATGCTCAACCCTGTGATGCTAATGCATTGACTCTGTAAAGCCAACTAAATTCTGCGTTTCATGCCAGTTAAGACACTGAAATAACTGTTTGAAAGAAGGCAAACACAGTATAAAATGATTTGTAGCATGCTCTCCAAGGTGCAGAAGAAACCTGACCTCACAAGCCTGCAGCCGGGCAGTTCCTCAGCAAGAAAAACGAGGGGGAGAAAATCAGTTCCATCCCAAGCCCAACTCTTAGAGCATAATTCCAAGGATTTTCCATATTGCAAAATTTTCCAAACTGCAATTTTTTTTCTTAGGCAGCAGGCAAGCACTGCTATTCCAAGTACCACAAATAGTGAGGAATTTACACCGAAGGGGGTCCAATGTCATCACTGACAATGATAAAATAACTCTGAACCTTTGGGCAACTTAGTCCTGCGAATTCAATGGTGGAGAACAAGCACGTCACTGTGTTCCCTCTCTGCAGGGGCCTAGTGGTCTGCACACGCCTGGAGATGTGTAGACTCACTGTGTCTTGAGTAAACTCTGCTCAAAACTCATGACGTCTCATTCATAAAACATGGTTCCCATCTTTCTTTGTTACTAGCATTAAGATTATTGCTGACCCAGCTTTTCTATTTTCTGCATTTAAACTGGAAAATAAAATAAAAAAAAAGAAAAAAATTGTGTTATATACTCATAAATTGTCCCTCAGACTTCTCACCAATTCATATTCCTAAATATGTTGGAAGAAAAAAAAAAGATTATTGCTGACCAGTGCCAAGCTTCGTGGGGGATGGGGGGGGAATTTTTCTCCTACAGATGTCTTTTTCTGTTGTGCTATCTTTTCCATGTCTGCGTGAATTCTTTTACCCTTTTGAGAGTAAGATCCGTTCAGGCAGGAGAGCAGGAGATGTAAAGTCTGTATATATTCCAGAGTGAGATAGGAAACTGGATAATTTTTCCATTCAGGTTTAATACCAGGATATATTCTGAGTTCAACAAGTGTACATCTGTACAAAAATATAATAAAAGCATGTTCCTCGTGTCTGGGTACTTTCAGGTAGACCTGACGTAACTCAGGGAGAGCTGATGTAGAAAAAAAAGTTTGCATTTAAATTATTGGCTAAGAACTCAGTTGGGACAAGGTGCGTGTTGAAGGTGAGCAACCCTGCTGAGACCAGTCATCAGCAGGCAGGCAACAGTAGCCTGATTTCGCCACACAGACACCACCTGGGCAATTCAGCCAGATTCCATCATCCAGTGCTAAGTCTCTAAACCACAAAGACAAAAGTAGCCGCCCCTCTTCCTGCCCTGTCCTCCAGCTGCAGGCCTGGTGGTACCCTTTGATCACTCTGGCTTATGAAAGAAAACAAAAGTCAGAGGAAGACGGACACTCAAAGGAAATTCCATGTTTTTTTGTTTTTGTTTTTTATATAGACGATCAGTGGTGGTAACAGGGAAATATCCCAAAGGGGTGGTTCGAGCTGAGATGGCTAGACCGGAGTGGAAGCTCTACTGTCTGGGAAGTCAGTCGTCTGAGTCAAAGCAAAGGGGCAAAGGAAGGTTCAGAGCTCAGAAGAACAAACCCCTCTCTAGGACGTAGGCTCGGGTGGTGCACTGCAGACACTCATTCTGCTGGGCATTATGGGTGCCACACAAAGGACTTGCATCATGGAAAGGGAGATGGAAAAATGAAAGCCACTGGAAGGTTGAGCTCAAGGCCCAGAGTAGTAAAATTCACTAATCTGATTAAGGTATTTACGAGCTATCATTATATTCTTAGCAGCCCCGTCCGTCCCTTTGCTCATTTCTACAGCGTGGAATCGTACAAAGAACATACTTATTCCATAAGGTTTGGCCAGCTGCACACGGAACAGTGTTGAACCTCCTAGGCTGTTAGTAATCTTCCAGTACTTCTTTGAGAGCTGGGCCATGGCTGACTAATAATTTCCATATCAGTGCAATGCATTGTCTCTCACTGGCTTGCAAACAGATAGGCAGGATGCTTCTAATTACTTCTGTGCAATAACAGCCCATTTTGGACATACTTTACAGGGAGCCAGGATGTCGGCTCCTTTAAAGGAAGGAGCTGGGGTCTGAATGTTAGAGTGCCGTGACATTTGGGTATAAGAACTGTCTAGATTTTCAGAGTAGGCTGAAGCCCCTTAGTTGAATGAACAGAGCGCTTCACACCTGAGAGGAAAAGGGATATTTCCTTCTTTGCTGAATGTCCCTATACATTAACACTTGTACCATCTTGCTGAAATGATGTCTTGGTATCTAAAAGCTCCTAGCCTCCACGCTGGCATCTTGCCCTGCTTGGGTAAGCTGGCATTCTATAGGGATAAGCCAGTTTATCAAAATATATATTTGACTTAATTTGTAACAATTGCCTAGGTGCTGAAGCAATAACAACAACAACAAAAAAAAACACTAAATAAACTCAAACCCAATTGATGCCTATCCATTATTAAATTCCCAACAGTAAGAATGCACAAAGAAAGAAAAGGTGCACTGATTCTTTAAAGCATCACACTTAAAGACCTCACAAGGCAATGCCCAAGTACTGCCATGCATTAACCAGAGGCGGTGCGCCAGGAACCGATGAGACAGTAGTCAAATGAGCCGACCTGGTCCTCCGCGGACGATAAAGAACAAACTGGAGTCTGCTCCCACAATGTTTTTCTGAGGCAGCACCAGGATTTGACCGTGTAGACCACTGGCAACTGAGAACAGCTTGATCAGGGAGTGGAGATGCTCAGCACAGTGGGCCTAAGACTATGGCAGAGAAAAGGGCTCAGCCATCATCTCTCTAAGCCCAAGGTGCAGCTGGAGGATACACTTTCAAAGCCAGCCTCTGAATGTCCGGGTGTGGAAATAATGCCCCTGGCTGCATGGAGGGAAACGACTTCTCCTGGTGTTAGAGTACACAAGCCTGTGGAGCATGCGTGGCTCCTGTCACGATACTCTCATCTGCATGCTCACACAAGGCTGCTGGTGTTTCCCAGCATAAGACGACCAAAGGAAATCAGGCTCGCCTGAGAACAGGCCTGTCTGCAGTAAACACTGATGGGAGCCTTCGGTTGTTCAGGGTTTTTGTTTGTTCGTTTGTTTATTGTCTTTTTTAGGTGGCAGGAACTGACTCTGGGGCCTCACATAGGCTAGGCAAGCCGGCCACCACAAAACTGTGTCTCTCTGCCTCTCCTTTAATCTTTTTTCTTGACCTCATAATTCTTGGCTGCAGCTCCCACCACCACCTGCCCCGTTTAAACAGCAACTGGGACTATGGCTATTTACTTCTGAGACCCCTCCTGCCCCTTATTTGGACAGTTACTACCAAGGAAACCCTCCTCACAGATGTGAAACTGCACATGGCTGTCTGATCTAAGAGACACTTGACAGTTCCAAGCTGGACATCAGTGCCCTAAAATAGCAACAAAGCTGGAGAGAGGTTATTTGGAGGGTACCGCTATTATTTTTAGAATGAGAGTGGAAAGGTTCTGGAAGTCCAAAAATCGCCAAGACTGGTGTGGCTGGTGTCCAGGTGCAAGGCTCTGCATGGTACAAATGACCGTGGTTATTGCATAGCCTCTCCAGGATGTGCCTCTCCCCCAGATGGGCAGGAGGCAAGGCTGGTCCCCCCCCCACCCACTCATTCCCCGTGCAGGAAGGAGGCACTCTCCAAGAAGATGCTGCGGCTGGCATGGTGAGCAGGATAAAGGCCAGAGGGAGGCCACAGAGGAAGCCCACCTGCTCTGGTAGTCACTTTCAAGAGGTAGCCATCCAGGTCGATGTGGAAGTGGGGGGTGTGGCACGGCAGCGCGATGCGGGAGCCGTTCCAGCGCACAGTGAGGTGCTGCTGCAGGCTGACCGTGCTGTCACCCAGCACCAGCTCCACAGACTTGGTCCAGGAGAAGGAACGGGTCCGCCGTGCATCGTTCTTCACCAGCACCTGAAAGGGTGAGGCAGGGGAGGAGCAGTCCTTTGTCAAAACATACTGGCATGTCCCCTGAAAGTTAAATGTCCGTCCGTCAAAAGTGTTGTAGTGTGGATCTCCGAATACTGTGCAAACGCCGGGCTCTGTGAACGAAAGAGATCAAAACAGGGTCACAACCAGGGCAGTGATGCAGAGAAACCAGAAATCCCTAGAGAGCATCCACCAGGTGAGAAGCCTGGGAGGGATTCATTAAAGTAATCAAGGTTTGAAACTGGCTGAGTGGTATGAAAAGCTTGCTTGTTTTTCTTACACCCCCTTTAGTGTGTTCACATTTAGAGATGATTTCTAATATGTCAGAATTCTGAGAACATCTCTATGCTGCAGCCTGGCATGCTTCCATGAGTAAAGGAATTACATTAAGGCCTTACTCCATAAGCCACATAAACAAGAAATCAAGCACATAAATAAATAGCAGCAAAACTATACCACATGAAAACAAGAAATACAAATTGTTACATTTCTTAATTTGAGATTTTATCTTATTGTGTGCGTGGTATGGTGTGCACATGCATGCACCGTGTTGATGGAAAAGCAAGAAAAGGCTACTGGATCCCCTGGACCTGGAGTGGTGGGGATTGTAAATGACCCAATATAGGTGCTTGCAAACTGACCCTGGGTCCTCTAAAAGAGCAGTGTGTACTCTTTTTAAAAACAATTTATTTTTATTTTATATTATTGATGTTTTCCTGCAAGCATATCTGTGTGGGGGTATCAGAGCCAGGAACTGGAGTTCCAGACAGGTGTGAGCTGCCATGTGGCTCCTGGACATTGCACCTGGCTTCTCTGGAAGAACAGTCAGTGCTCTTAACCACTGAGCTATCTCTACAGTACATGCTCCTAGCCACTGAGCCATTTCTCTAGCTCCAAGGACATGTTTCTTACACTTTGATCCACATGCCAAAAGCTAAAGTTAAATAAAAAAGTCAATTGGAAAATTCTTTAGGATATTTAGCCCAGTAGACTCCACACTTAGAAACCCCATTAATTCATATTTATAAAAACAAAGTTTAGTACTCTGAGGCATCTTGGTGGTTACATAAAAAATAAATATTTTTGTAAATAAAAATTGCCATTGATTTGTTTTCAGGATAATTTGTTATTGTTTCTAACAAGGCACAAAACATCAGGAAATTAATTTAGCAACATTGGCCCAAATAATGAAAGGCAGCTAGGCATATGCTGATAGCACAGCACTCCGGAGGCTGAGGTAAGAAGACGGCAAGCTAGAGGCCAGCCATGACTACATGATGAGTCCTCGTCTCAGATGAAAAGAAAAATAACATAAGCAAAAGCAGAGCAATTTCCAGCCAACACCAGAACAATTATCAAGTCAAGAGCAACCAGGACAAATGATGGGCCCAGGATTTGAGACATGGTTAGCAAAGGATAAAGTGAAGCTCTAGAACCTTCAGGGCCGAAAGAAATGGCCCAGACTGTGAGAGGTCAGAGCCGAGCCCAGATGAGCCACAGACAGCAATGGGACCAACGTCAAGTTCACTTTGTGCTTCCACCATGGATGGAGAATAATGCTGGCTCAGGGTACAGCTCATCACCAGTCTTCTGGGAAGCCACGCATATCACACACATTTGGAATTTACAAAATTAGTGGATGTATCTGTATTTTTGTCCATCTTTGTCAGAAATAAAGATGACATTTTCTGGAATACAGAAACATTTCAATGAACAAGAATATTTAAGAATATCTATGAGACACCATCATGGGGATGGAAGAAGTATATGAGTTCGGCAGTGATACTTGAATTCAATATCCATTCCTAATGATTTCTTATTTTTCTCTTATCTGTTTTCATTGTGACCCCAATTTTACTAGTCACTGGATTGCTCCCCACTACCCAACTCCCCACCTGATCATCCCTTGCTTGACTTCTCCACAGTGCATTTTTCAGTCCTTGCTGAACGGGGTGGATGCCAAACCTGCCTCCTCACACTGTTCCTCACTCTCTAACTAGTGGAACCCATTGCTAGCATGAAAACTTTGTGTGTTAATTGACAGAGTGAAGGCAGGGTGCAGCCCAGGAGAGCAAGAGTTCAGACTCAGTACTCCCCTCTTCCATTGTGCACCAAATTCAAGTTTGTGAGCTAAGTTCTAAGGCTCTCAGTCCCACCTACTTCAGCAAGTTAGACAGAACCAACTGATGCTCTTAACCCCTCAGGGTTGAGAGACATGGCCTCAGATTAGGAAAGCCCAAACACTCACATACCAAAGGGGCTGGCATTCTTCTCCTAAGGGTGGCCATAAAGGCGTGAACAGGGACTGGGGCTTTCCACATCTGGCACTACATTCTCTTGTGACTGTTTTATGGCTCCAGTAGCAACTGTGGCTTCTCTCGATGTCCTGATCATAGTTTCAATGAAATTATCATTAATCAAAGCACTGGTAACTAACACTTGTCAAAAGTTCATTCCCTGTGGTAGCATAGTTCTGCATGCCTACTAATGATGGAGGCATCCTCAGAAAAATGACAAAGTGTCTCTGAACATTAGACAAACAGCTAGGCACTTGACAGTAGACCATAATATGGGCTGTCATCTAGTCATTGAAAATATTTGAAATATTTGTGAATGATCCTTAGGACGAAGGAAATATTTTTGTCATGGTAAGTGAAAAACCACCCAGATTATGTTTTCAATTCTAGGATTGATTTGATTCTCTCTCTCTCTCTCTCTCTCTCTCTCTCTCTCTCTCTCTCTCTCTCTCTCTCTCTCTCTCTCTCTCTCACACACACACACACACACACACACACATTCTTTCTCTCACACACACATACACACACACACTAAGCAACATTACTTCTTGATAGAACCACAAATGAAACTTTTCCCCGTTTTTGTAGTTTTGTTGTTGTTTTGACTTTAAGAATGAAGTGTAGGCAACTCATAGATAAAGCCAATTGTGTGACAAAGCAAATCCCGAAAGAAACAATAGAAACTGGACTACCCCAAACTGGCCTCAGGAAGCTGGAGTTTGCTCTTGGCTGGACAAGAAGCTATGAGGAATGTCCAGAAGAGACCCAGAAGGTGGAAATTGTGTATGAATAGGCCTGTCAGGAGAGATATTTTTTAAGAGTCTTTAATTTGTAGGAGAGAAGAGTTTGGAAGTTGGTATGATTTCCTGTGTGACTGCAATATAGACACAGCCAAAAAAATTTCAAGACTATGAGGAGGTTTGAGAATTATGTGTTACACGTGGGAACATTCGAATCATGAACTGAAATCATTGTGAAACTTTGGCCCCTTTTCCTGGCACCCAAAAGTCCTCATGCCACATCCCAGAGGAGTGGGCTAACACACGTGCTGTAGAATGTCTGAGTAAAACTGCCAGTGTTGCAGAAACCCGCCTGCCTAGGAAGGAATCATCCAGATAACACTTTGGGAACAAAAGTGAGCATTGCACTCTCATGGCTATTTTCAGGAAAGCCAGTCAAATGTGCTGCAATCCAAGATGTCCAGATGTCTGGTCACACTCTTCTGGAAAGCTTGGCTCAATGGTTAGGGGACAGAGCAGAGGGAACTGTGGAAATAACTTGTCTGAACGTGCCTAAGGCCAGAGATGGATATTTCAGTTTCTCTCTGTGGCACATTGTTTCACAGTCTTAAAGTCAAATCTTCATCTGTGTTTATTGCTATTGTTTTATTTTCAATATATGTAAATAAATGCACATGACCAGAGAAAAAGATCAAAAGGTAAAAACTCAAATATTTAACATTTTAAAATATTGAAAATTCTGCTTAGGAAATGGAATTACACATGGCATCCTTTTTCTTTTTTCTTATTTATATATTTGGTTGTGAGCTTAGCCTTTATTGACCGAGCCATCTCTCCAGCCCCTTTGTTCTTATTTATGATATTAATATTGTCTACACTTACATTTCTTGTTCACTTTCAGAAAGGAATATTGACTTTAAGATCCAAAGTTCCTTCCTCACAACATATCACATTAATGAAAACACGCGTATTAAGATTGCTACCTCTAAACACGAGGTTCTGATGTTTTTCTCTTAACTACCTCAGAGTGTTTTATTTTCCCCTGGACATACCTATTTTAATGAAATGCCTTTTCTCTGGGAGCAGTGTTCTCAAAACATCTGTCAAAGACTGTTAGGTGAGAACACTAGACTCCCAGGCACAGAGACACAAACAAGAGAAACTGGGTAGACTAATCTAGCCCTTTCCAACAAACAACAAAACAAAGCAGGAAAACTGCTGGAAAGAAACAAAAGCCCCTTCATGTTCTGTCACCAAGTAAGCAGTGTCTGCAGTTCTAGGTGTGTGGTGTGTGTTTATTTTCAGAGTTGAAACAATCCTGTACATGAAATTTTATCTCCTATATTTCACTTAACATGTCATAAGATTTCCGCAGTCATTCAAGTATGTTTTTCTTTGAAAACCCAGAAGGGAATTTTCCGCCTCAGTCCATTACTGCTGCAGAGAGGGAGGTCTCTCCAGCACCTTGCATGGGGATCAACACATTTCCTGAGGGGCGTCCTAACCACAGGGCATAAGGCACATAAACATGGCTTTAAACCTTTCTCAGCACAAACTTCAGGGAAACAGGTCCTGCAAGGCTCTGGATCACGGGGTCATGCTAAGCTTCTGGGACCTTAGGAGGGTGAGAGTCACTGCCATGCCAAGTCTTGGGCAAGAAGCAGGAAAGGCTGGCATTAGAAATACTGTCTGAGACACGAGCCAGCTACTATTTTCTGATGTGACTTCTGGACCGTGAAAGGGTCTGGTGAAAAGCAGGCCCTGGGTATCTTCTACATGAAAGAGCTCTGGCCTTGCACAAGGTGTTAGTGACAGCTGCTAGCCCACAGGCACTTGAGAGCCAACAGATGCTCCACCAGGTGGCACCTGGATGTCTGTAAGGATGTGTTCTTCCTCAAACTTTACTGTAAAGGCGCTGGTCTTGGACCACAGAGACTAGATGGTAGTGCTGTTAGCTGAGTGACTGTGGATCACAGGCAGCTGAATATCACTGTTGAGGAGTTAATATAATACAGCATGATGTATGGAGACATGGTAAGGCTGGAATGAGACATTACATACAGAAGGCAGCACCCT